TATAGTACTAAACTCAAACTAGTTATGAGCTTTATTCCTTATGTTGTACAATAATATTTCTTGCTGGGTTGTTGTTTTTAAATTTTTATTATTGCTCTGTATTAGGTTTTAGTGATCAGCAGAAAGAGTGTCCTGACTAAGTTGTGAATATTTTATCAATATTAATAAATTCTGATTTACTAATAGTTATTTCTAACTAATTTGATAAACTGTTATAACAATTACTTATATCTTCATATATATTTGATTATTTGCTTTTCTATAACTGCAAATCATATTAAATACTATTCAATACTTAATGATAATACATATTTTTATTTAACATAAATCTGATATTCCTATCAGTTTACCAATATTCATAACATATCCATTACTAAATAAACCATCACCCAAGATCTTAGAATAGATAGATTTCAGTTGTAACAATGCAACCAACTTGGTGATTATATAAAAATCTGACTGTACTTACCTGAGCATAATGTTTTGCTACTGCCTTAACTATACCAAATCAAAATCTGCCTCTCTTTAAGTAGTGTCACGTTACGCTGCATCTTGGATTTTAAAGCGACCTGTCGCACTATTTTCTTTTCGAATAGAGGTAACGCTGTATAGCCTCCGACAATACTACACAAATTATATTACAAACATAAACGATAAATGTAAAATAGATATACCTTTATAATATAATACTAAATAGTTTTCACAAAGAAGCCTGCAATAGACATTCAATCTTTGTTAAACATCATTAATATAATTTGGTATTTTTGGGTATTTTTGGGTGTTGCATTTTTTTTGTTTTTCTTTCGATGATTTTTCAAATTTTTTACGAATATTAGATGGATCGCCATAAGTTGAATAAAAATCGGATGCATTATAAAAGAACATTTCAATTTTTTTTTTTGATAATTTAGAGAGAGAGAGAGAGTCAGAAAAGATATCGGTTAGATAATTTATTAACGACTAGAGAAAAAAAGTACTTGAATCATTAAACTTGACGTTATTTTATATAAAGATTTAAACCATTAAATTAAATGATGTGCTAATGACGTTTTTGTCATGTGAGAGGTCAGAATAATAATAATAATAAAAGAAATTCTATATATTCAATTTAATACGATGCCTCAACACTAACGGTTACATCAACATAAAAATTTCAAAATCTTAAATCATTAATAGATCACAAAAATACAACTAAATAATATGCCCAATAGCTGGTATGGATGACCAACTCAAAACAAAAACAATTCCAGTAATCCGAGTATCCAAAACCAAGTATTTTTCCATGAAATAATCTTTTTTTTCTTTGTCGGCTTAACTGTTTGCATCATTAAGGTGACTACGGCCTCTACAACTGTGACCAATCCACTGTGAACTTAAAAAGCTTTTTCCATCGTTTGATTTGGCACTTACTGAATTCAGAACCAAAAAAAAAAAGTAAGACAATAAAATGTCAATCGGATTAACCTAAAATAGCCGGAAAATCAAATAGCTGGTTTCTGCAATAGTGACTTACCGAGATGGCAACAACGTGGTGGGAGGCTTGAAGATGCTACAAAATCTCTGCTCGATAACAATTTCGAATGAGACTGTATCCTTGAATTGAGGAGGTGCTGACCACAGAACTTTTGTAGGTAAAGGTGCGCTATATTTTGCTTGATCATACAGTTGCTTTGTTTTCCATGCCCGAATCTGACGGTAGTTACGTATAAAAATGTCCTTAGGACTTCTATATTCATCACCTTCGAAACCTGCAGTTTTCAAATTCCATATCCAGGATACGTAATTCCTGCTATTGTTAACAGACAAGACGAAAGCAGGTCTGTAAAAGTGTTTAGCCTTTTCTTGCGACAAAGATGCACTGATCGAAGAAAATTCAAAAGTTAGGGATTGAGCATTTCGTGCTTCTATTTTAGTTGGCGTAGTCAAGAAAGGATCCGTGGTGGGATCAACAGTTTCTAGTACAAGTTTGTCATTATCACTTGGTACAATATGTACCATCCAGAAATCACGGTATAGAGCTTCTCCTTTATGGTTGAGATCACTCCCATCGAAACCGTTCAGATGCAAACCATATCCTGCCTTCTTTTCAAATTCGATTCCTAGCATGGTGTGGGTGGCTTCGCGGATACAGGTGGCTTTCAGAGCAAAGACCAATTCTGCAGAATGACCACAACTACCACAACTATAACTCTGATAACCACTACTATGATAACTATGAACATGATAATGATAATGACAACAATCAAAATAAAAATAATAACAATGATAATGACAATAGCAGCACTGTTAGTAAGAGAAACTGTGGGAGTGAAGTATGAGATTATTTTAAAAAAGTTAAGTGGAAAAAGAGATAAAAAACTACTAAATATGCAATACAAAATTGCAACTATAAAGAATTTTCGTGTGGGAGCAGAGGTACTATCTAGCCTTTATGGCAGTACTTAGAATCTGCTTATTGGATACAATATGTACTTACTGAGGAATTTCATAAAAAAAAAAAAAAGTGCAAGAAAAATATGGCACTGTTGAGGAAATATTTAAAAAAGTAAAATTTCTTATTACTCAAATTTAAGCTTATTCTTTTTTTACTCAATTT